TACAGTATAGTACAGTGTGTGTGTGGATCTGCAGTATACTATGGCGTATTGTATGGCGTATTGTAGTGTAATACAGTGCAGTATAGTATAGTGTAGTGTAGTACAGTGTAGTATAGTGTAATACAGTACAGTATAGTAATATTGTAGGACAGTGCAGTGCAGTGCAGTATACTATAGTCTAGTGCAGTGCAGTACAGTATAGTATAGTGCAGTATAGTGTAGTGTAATACAGTGCAGTATAGTACAGTGTAGTGTAGTATAGTGTAATACAGTACAGTATAGTAATACTGTAGGACAGTGCAGTGCAGTGCAGTATACTACAGTCTAGTGCAGTGCAGTACAGCGCAGTGCAGGATAGTACAGTGTTGTGAAGTGTAGTATGGTGTAGTGTAGGACAGTATAGCATAGGTAGTGCAGTAGTTGAAAGCACAGAATTTTAAGCCTGACTTACCTGGACTCTACTGCTGGTGGAGTCACTCCATAACTCTGTGACCATGGCTTAATCACTTAAACTCTTATAATACTAATTTCATCTGCAAAAAGAGGATTCAAATAACTATACCCCAGAGGGCTATTTTGAAGCTTTGAAATAATATATGTAGGTTAGCTCCTGTTTAATGTCCAACACATAGGCAGGCATCACTATTACTGCTGTTTAGCTGCTGGTCCTGGACCGACCCTGAAAGTCAGGGCAAAGCTGGCAGCCTGGTCAGCCTCAGCAGGCCCTCACCTGAGTGGCCGTGGCTGTGGCTGTGCAGGACACAGCACACTGCTCCTGCAGCATCCAGACCGAGATGCACCCAGCAGTCAGGGGCCGCTGGGAAACACTCCTCTCCCCACTTCGCTGCCATTCTGTCAGCTCTTCCTTCTCTGCACTGTTTTTCTCACACTCAATCTCACTTCCCTTTAAATAGAATTGATGGAACCAGAGGGGAAGGAGACATGTACTCACCAAGGAAACGAAATGCTGTTCTGTTTTACAACCACACTGCAACCTACGGGGAACAATTGGTGGTAGTGCTGAGGAGTAGGGGGAATGCGGCATTTATAAAAGACACTGATTTTCTTCCCTGAAACCCCAGCCTCTGGATAAGAAAGCATTTCTTTGACGAACCTGTAACCACTCATAGTTACGTTCCTGTTTCCGAAAAGGCACAGCACATGAATATATTAGTCTTTGGTAAACACCTTCTCATTTAGGGTACCCCAGTTTTATCTTAGCTTTTGGACAACCTCCTTAAAGTACTGAAGCAACCTCCCTGCATTCATTGGCTCTCAACTTCATACCAAACTGAAAAAAGAAAAAGAAAAAAGATACAAGAGAAAATCCGGCCAAATCAAAAACACACCAGCTTCTGCTCCCAGCATCCATTACGGATGCCTGATGTGAGTTTCTGGGTAAAGAGATGAGTGTAGTCCTTGGAAGCTATTGGGAAAATGACATCATGGATCTCCTGAACGCCTCTCACTGGGAAGAAATGAAAAGATGCTAGAGAGCACCAGCAGGTTCCTCCTAAAATAGAAAAAGTCACCCTGACAACAATTTTGCTGTGGTTGCCACAGGTGAGGGAGGCATAACCAATGACATCATATTTATTTATTCTTAAAACATAGGCCAGAGTTTTACGACTTCCTAAAATCTACTATGCTTAGTACCAGTTCAAAATAGTGCTGAAGGCTCTGACTGGGCAGCTCAGTTGGTTAGAGCTTTGTCTTGATAAACCAAGGTTGTGGGTTCGATTCCCAGTCAGGGCACATACAAGAATCAACCAATGAATGCATAAATAAGTTGAACAACAAATTGATGTTTCTCTTTCTCTAAAAAATCAATAAATAACATTTTTAAAAACTTAAAAAAAAACCAACAACACAGCTCTGAAGATAAAGAAGGAAGAAGAGAATTGGGCTCCGGCCAGACTCTTCTGCACTTGATTTAACTCAGGGACATATTTGATGTCATTTCCATTCTTTGACTAGCTTTTAAAACTTCTACAGCCTTAAATCCACTTGGAAAATGTTGATGCTTTAGTACTCCTTTTCTCCATTAATCTACAAGGAACTAGATAACTACTTAGGCGGGAGCTGTCAAAATAGGGGTATAAATAAGGCACAAATCAAACAAACAGTTCCCTTTTACGACTACTTTATCTCAGTTGCTTGTTTTTTTTTAATCTAAAAGAAGAAACCAAAAGGAGAACACTTTCAATGCTTCATATCATCTTTGTCCTTAAGATATAATAGGATGTACTATTCTGATGGGGAAACTGAGGCATAAAAGAAAACAATTTACCTATAACCAACCATGAGATGTGACTCGGGAAGAGGCCTGTAAGATTCGGAAGTCTGTGCATTTCTTCCATAGACAGGACAACGCTTTAGTCGAGAAGTAAAGTCTAACAGGAAATGATGCAAACCTTTAGGTACTTCAACATGGCCTGAAGACCCTCATGGGATGAACTCACCCACCTCCTCCCCTCCCCTCCTGCCACAGTCCGCTTGTGCAGTTACTCACTCACTATTCCCCACACAGAATATGCATTTCCATTCCTCCGAGCCTTCGGACATGTTGCTACCCGTGCTCGAACGGGTTCCTACCCTTTCTCTCTGGACAAGCCTACCCCGCCCTTCCTTCCAAGTCCGGCACAAATGCTACCTTTTCTGGTTCTCTGTTCTGAGAGAGTTGTAGCCTTCTCTGCAGCCAATGTATTTATTACAGAGAATCACTACAGACCAGGGGTCAGGAGCCTGCCTTCTCCAGTCACACTGCTCGAGGGTGAAGGCCAATGCCAGCACTTTTTGGTGAATGACCTCGTGTATGGTAGCCTCTCTGTGCCTGTTTTCTCATCTCAGGTGAGAAATGAAGATAATCATCAGCCACTTATTAGGACCGTTTTGAGAAATAAACTAAGTGGTATATGTAAATGTTTCAAATACTTATGGCACATGGTTGGCATTCAATAAATGCTTCTTTATAATAGTTTATAACTATACTATATAATAATTATTATTGTATTGCACTGAAAAGTGAAATTAAAGCTGCTTAATTAGTTCTCTCTTTCAAAGTAGACTTTGAGATCTTTAAATGCAGAACAAAGTCTTTATCATCTTCACATCCCTGAGGCCTAGTGTGGGGCCCGACAGCACAGGAGACAGTCAACAATGTTTGTGAGCAAACAAATGAAAGAATTAGTCTGCAATTCTTCCTGTTTAAGAAAGTAGAGCACAGAGCTCCTAGAAGTGAATGTTATCCTGATAAGCTCTGAGGCCAGAGATACAAACAAGGTTAGCCTGTCAAACATCACAGCTACGGCCCTGGACAGCAAACAAAGGTTGGTTAGAGTAAAACCACAGCATGCGGGTGATACTCAGGCCTGTTCCTACCGGGGCTTTTCTCTTAGCATTATGAAGCCAGAAAAGGCAGATGGCTGTGTGCTGTAACACAGGCTGCTCCTAGCCAGCAGTTCCAGTGTGAGGCAAATAGAATAAGCTAAAGGCACCTTGGCAGAATTTTCCAGCTGTGAATGGATTCTCTGGTGATATACATTCACGCAAAATAAACTAAAGTTGTGATTCTCACAGGTAAATATCTGAAAATCAGTTACTTTAGCAAGGAGGCTTGCTTTTATTACAGACAGGCAAGAGGGTGCATAGCATGGTTTCATCCTACATTTGGGTGAGTAAAAGATAAACAATCCATATCAGCAGTGGAAAACAAAGTCAGCTCAGGTTCCCTGCCAGGGAAATGTAACAGTCAAGAGACTTTCTATGCTGAAGGCCAACTGAGATGTTGGAACTCTACTTATGTATATTAAGCAGCGCTGACAGTTCCATTCCATGTCACAGGATCAAAGCCATGTTCTTTGGCTTCCAGCTAGGTCTTCTGAAATGAAGATAATGCAAAAACGAAACCCTGAATTTGCAATCAGAGGACAAAAGAAAACTAAGTATATCATGACACAGTCCCCTCTCATCTCTATAAACTAAGTCATCTGGAAGAAAAATGCCATATCTAAGAATATATGGTTATTATTTTAAAGGGGAAAAAGGGTACCTACAATACAATCCCCCAATTTTTTAAATTGAGATTTTTAATCATCTCCTAAGTTACAAAATCTATATGTAGATTCTTTCCACTCCATATCTGATATAAAACTATATTCTTCCACACAACTATATCCCCCAAAACTTGTTGGGGAGCAGCTGCGGAGGGGATTGATTGGTGAAGATTAGTATTCATAGGGAAATAAAACCAGACTACAAAGAAACAAAGAGGTTGAATGATTTGCTCGAGCTCACAGGGTCAGTCGCCGGCAGACCAAGAAGAGAAGGCAGGTCTGCACCCCCTTTTTGAGCCTCTCCTCCTCTAGAACTTGCTGCCTGTTTGATCACAGACTCGGCATGGGTCAGATTCACAGTGATCTCAGCAGGCGCTTTTTGCCTGAATTAGAAGCCAGCTCTGAAGATGAAAAATTCTACAGGCGTCTCAGGTATGGCTGTCACTATTAAAAAGCAAGCTCCCTCTTAGTTAAAAAAAAATCATAGGAAATCACAGAAAATCAAACTTTAATATTGATCTTGCTCCTTTCTTTTCTGAGCACAAGGGTTGAAGGGCCCCTCCCTCTCTGACTGCTTCCCAAGACACAGCGGCCTTCCGGGCAGCAGATCTTACTGCCACCCCGTCTCTTGGAACAGATATGGCTTCTCAGCAGGCTCCTGCAGGAGCAGGGAAGGAGCCAATCCGTGAGGGAGCGAACACGAGATCTCCCGTTAAAGCACAGAGAAGACAGAATATTGCTACCAAAAGCATGAATTACGTTTTCTGCTTGACAAAAAGAAAAAGAATCACTCCGGGTTTCAAAGACATCTTCTTGAAAGATGACTCCACGGTGGTTAATATCCATGTTCTATATATCAGGACTTACGCTCCTCCACACTCTGCAAGACCCCTTGTCATTGCTGACATGACCGTGTATCATGGATTTGAAGAGTAAACTACTTACTACCAGACGGGAGGGCAACAGGCAGCTATTCTGGGGGCCCAATGAAGGTTTGGTCAGCTGCTCCTCAGGAAGTCTAAAAGCACCTCTTTCGCTGCTGACCCTCAGAGGACACTGTGTGAAGATCAAATAAAGAAATATCCTTTTATAATGACAGAGGCTAAGGAGAGGAGAAGCAGCGTGCACAGAGGCCACAATGATTCAACGTTGGAGCAAGTAAGAACTATCAAGTTAGAGGAACAAGACCGAAGTGACCCTCTGAGAACTGTGCATGAATCCTCTTGGCTTTCATTCAGGGTCACAGAGAGAAGGGTGCTGGCCTCCTGGAGACAGTCTGAATGGTGTGGAGGGCACGAGCCCCAAAGCCGGACCACATTAAAGTGCTAGCTCTGCCACTTACTAGCTGGGTGTCCAGGGCAAGCTAATGTTTCTGAGCATTAATTTCCTCTTTTACAAGTAGGATAATAATTACACTATAAGCTATATGTGAGGATTAAATGAGAATGCATATAAAGAAAGCTCTGTACAGAGTAAACCTTCAATAAATGGTAGCTATGATCATTACATAGTTCATTAGCAGGACAACTACTCAATAAAATTCAGGGCAAGAAATAGATACGACCAAAAGGACAAATACGTGGCCCCCTCATGTCCACAGCTTGAGAAGTCGAAACTGAAAAGAGGAAAGAAGGCAGGGAGACTCCAGCTTGAGAGAAGAAGGAAAAAAAAAAACCCAATAGATCTATTATGGACCAATACAATCCAATAGGCAGAATTTCCTCTGTTCCTGCCACTGCGGACAGTGGCTGTAATCCAATTCTCCCTGAACTTCAGTGCAGACTGTGGGGAGGTGACTGTGTGGGCAGAATGCTAGCAAAGGAGACCCAGGTATAAAAATCCAAGCAGACCTGGGACTCAGGCTCTGCAGATGAATTTCTCTCCCACCCCCTGTGCAGGCGGGCCCGCCCATACCTCCTTTCTGCCTCCTTTACACATCAAACCCTCACTCAATTCTGTCAGCAATTCAGAAGCCTCTGGAACAGAACTGTTTGGTTTCTTGAGATGGCAAAGTGTCTGTCATAAATAAGAGAACTTTCAGATCAAAGGCAATCTACCCTGAAGTGTTAATTGGAATAAATTGAGCCAAATGGTATTTCAACACAAGCAAACTGAATAGAATCAAAAAGTATAAATTTAAAGGTTAAAAAGAAAATTTGACTCCTCTTTCTGCCAAATTGGAACATACTTTTCAAGTGCTCATTGTACCTAAAAAGGGTTCTGTCAAGTGCCGTTAAACAGAATCCCTGCTGACATCCATGCAGCCTGGCTGGAGGGAAACAGCACGCCATCCAGGTCGCCAGTAAAAAAACTCCATGCTTTACCACTGCTGAGTGACGCGAGGGTGTGGGCAATTCAATTCTACAGCCAGCTTCTCACACTGAATAGTGTCCCTTCATAACGTGTAGTCTTCTAATCAGTGAGGCTCTGGCACGTGACCATAAATAAAGCAGAGATGAGAGTGTTCATCCTAATCAGGCTCTCCCCAGACAGAAATGCCACTTCTGCCCTGTGGAGTCTGCACACTACATCTGCTAAGGTGTCTTTGAACTTTCTATATTGGTCTTGTTTGAATTTTCTTTCTGGGGAAAAATGATCTAGGGTTCTGCTTGGCCGGGATTTTAAGGAGCTGGAGTTAGTCTTGAGAGCAGAAGTGGAGTGCCAAGGAGATACAGAGTGTGTCTCAACCAAAAGTCTGTGCAGAATGGTGAACACTTAGTCAATAACCAGAGAGGTTGTTGATTTAGGCTTTCATCATCACTAGCGTAGTCTGACTAGTCTCCCAAGCTCTAGTGTTTGAAATTCCAGAGTGTCTCCCCACTCTCCATCTGCAGAATAGAGCTCTACTACCTTAAGGAGTCCCACAGGGCCCTCACTGACCTAGGCTCTGCTTTCTTTCCTCCACTGTTCTCTTGTCTAGAGCTTTTACCTAAGTTGTTCCCTAGAACAACTCCCACCCCTGCTCCTCTTTTGTCTGCCCACTCATTTTTCAGACCTCTATTTATAACCTTTTCTAGTAAGCCTCCCCTTATCCCCCAAGACTGACTTAGGAGCCCTTCTTAAAGGAGCCAAAACTCTCCTTACCATAGCACTTCCCCCACAGTATAAGTGCCCAGGTGTATGCTCTTCTCCCACTAGACAGGATCCACAAGATCAGAGACTGTATCTGTTTTAGTTACCATTATATACCCACTATATACAGTGCCTCATAAACACAGTAAGGGAGAGAGAGGAAAAAAACCATGGAGGGAAAGAAGGAGGAAGGCAGGGACGGAGGGGCCACAACACAGAGGGAGCCTGTGGCTGGGAGATGAAGTCTGAAGGGATTCCCTAAGGCTCTGTAGGTTTACAGCGGGACACCTGTGGCTTTAACACTGCAGACAAGGAGCAAGATCTAGGCTGAGAACCACGGTTCCAAAGGGAGGGAAGCCCCCGGAGATGCAGGTAGATGTGGGATAACATTTAGTGCTAAGAAAGAGGGTAAGGATGTGGGACAGGAGAAAGGAAAAAAAGGACACTATTTGTTGGTTTGCAAATAAAACCAAAGGAGGGTTGAATCCTCGTTCCACAGTAAAGTAACCTCAGACAATTCATTTAGCTTCTTTCAATGAGAAACCTAAATGGGTGATTTTCTAACTGAGTCCTGAGGAACCCTAGGTTTCTGCAGAAGTCCCTCAGGGTCTATTGTATTAAAGAGAGGAAATTCACCAGCAGATGGGCCCCCAACTTTAACCAGTGAAAACTGTTTTTATACATTGGGTTTCTACTTAAAGCACATTTGGAAAAAAGGATGCTTCTGCTATAACTCAAGTTCTGAATAGCAATGGCCTGGATGACCTTTCTAGTACCTCGCAGACTGAGCAGTCCCTGATCTATGTGACAAAGGGGACCCATCTGGACGTTGTATTTTACTTTCTACACACGCCCCTCAATTGTGTCGATGGCACAGCTGCAGCATTCCCAGAGCCTGTGTCACCGCCCAAGCAGAAGGACAGGAAAGGGAAGTAAACCAAAGCCCAGGTGCACTGCAAGGCTGAGGCCAAAATAAAATGCACTTTTAGGCATTTTTATTTTTAAATTAAATTTCTTGGGGTGACATTGGTTAACAGGATCACATAGATTTCAAGTGCACAGTTCTATATGATTCGTATATTGCATTGACCACCCAAAGTCAAACCATCTTCTTTAAAATACACTTTTAAATTTCATGTGATGATACAGAAGCACAAAGGAGCTTTTCTTTTTCTAAACAAAACTTTGTATACCTATGATCTAGGATTCATTGCATAGGTGTCTTGAGTCGTACACAAAGATATTATAGGTCAGAAATAAATAATGTTGGATCCAGAGCCTGTAAAAAAAGCAACCTGGCTGCAATCAAGAAAGAACAAGATGCAAGTTTATCTAGTCAGTCCACCTGAGAGTCCAAATGCCATCCAAATACAGTGCCATTATTCTTAACAGATATCCTGCATGTGCCAAAGAATAAAGCAAAGTAATCGTAATTACGTACTTTAGAGTCTACTTTTATCTGAAGGTTACAGGCAGGAAATGGCACAGATGGGGAGGGAGATGGGAATCTTACAAAGCCCTAGCTTAAGAAGGAGATTCCTTTTCTGTGCTGTTTCTTGGCTGTCCCTATTTCATGGGGCATTAAAAGGTCACAGTATCAGATTCTACTTCAATTTTGAGAACAGACAAGAGCAATAATGTGATCTTACCTGGGTCCTTCCTCGTCGCCCTGGAAGAAACAGAAAGAAACAGCATTAGAAATCAACGCTGGTGGAGACGGATTTAGACTTCTTTCTTTTCCTTCTCCTTTCCTGACCTAAAGCAAAGCTTGTGCATTTATTGTAAGAGACAAACTTGTAGATGTGTGAAAACTAAGACAAGGGCTAATATAATCCTATATTCAAACTGCCCAACAAAGATGAACTGGTAATTTGCCCTTGAAAGCAGAGATGTGAATACACAGATCTAGGAGGCCTAAATAATAGCTTTGCCTTTTTTATTTGTATGGTTGGCAGTATTTAGTTCTGAGCAAAGAGAGCCCAAAATAACAGCAGGTCTTAGACAAAAGCTGACCAGCTCCCAAAGTATCAAGCTGCTTCCCTCAAAGACTCCTTTCTGCCCTGGCCTAGCATTTTTTTTCCTCCAAAGAGAAAACACAGAGACTCTAATATACAGCACACTATGGTGGGAAGGGCACTGAACTGGGACCGAGGAAACTGGGATTCCAGTCCAAGCTCTGTTACTTATTAGCTATATGCCCTTGGACCAGCTAATTAATTAATCCAGACCCTGGTCCTCTCCAGAACCAGGGTAGTTCTAGCACTTCATGACCCAGATCATTCTCAGACAACAATGGCTTTTCTGTTTTTCTTGTTCACTCTGCTAAAACAATGTGCGAGTCTTCTTTTCCCAGGTATGGGGTTCTCTGATCCTAACGTCACCAGTGACCACAGAACATTTCACTGAGTCTCTTTCTTGTCCAAACCAGATTTTTCAAATGACTCTCAAGACTTTTCCAAGGGGCCTCACTCATCGTTTTGGTGACAGGGTATCTTTTAAATTCTCCCTTTTAGCCATCTGGGGTTGGTTCTCAGAGAACTTCTTTATTTGATTGATGAATTGTTCCTACAGGTATGAAGAAGAATGAGCTCTGGAGTGGACACTCTGGGTTCCAATCTGGACTCCATCCCTAGCTTGCTATGCTACCCTGGTCAAATTATTTTGCCTCTCTTAACATCAATTTCCTAATCTGTAAAAGGAGAATAATAATTGTCCCTATATCACAGAATGAGTGTGAGGATTAAATAAAACAATGTATATAAACATCAAGCTCAATGCCTAAGATATAGGGTGCACTTAATAAAAGTTATTTTATCATTATCAGCGACAATTCAGTACCCTTCGTTAAGAAGCAACAACATGTAAGTGCTAAGGTAAAAGATGAATAACCCATAATGATCGGGCCTTCTAGTGGCTCTCTGTGAGGAGAAACAGATATAAAGTGAACTGTGACTAAATGCGACAAGGGCCCTATCAGAGACAAACAGAATGGCGTGCAGTCAGTAGTGACAAACGCTGCCTCCCCCAGACAAGGCAGGAAGGCGTCACAGAGAAGGTGCCGTTGGTACTGGCGTTGGAGGGATAAGCGGGATCTTCCCAGGCTGACGACAGAAGGTGAGTGGGCAGGGCACTGGACTACTGAGAGCAGAGGCACAGCGATTTTTAAAAAATGGATGTTTAAGGAACTTTGAGTTCCGTGAAACTGCGGGGTGGGGATGTGTATGTGCCTGTCTTGGGCAGGGGCTGTGGGGGCAGACGTGGTGTGGGGTTTGGGGATTGGGAGTACAACTGAGGTTACAAAGGTCAGCTGCAGACAGAAAGGTGATTCCAAGCAGTGTATACACCGGAGGATGGCTAAGAAGGGCATTGTTAGAACACGGTCAAGGTTTCCACTATTGTTGAGGGCACAAATCATCCGTACTCAGAGGGAAAAGTAGGGCGAGTGGTGGAAGGCAGGTACAGGGACTGTGGAAGCTTTGTTGGCATTTTGATCAACTGGCATGTCTTATGGGAACTATAATCTAGTAAGAAAAAGTCATATAATTTGAATTTAATAATGAGTTACATAACTATCAGTGATACAATTCAACCTCAACACAATTTTTCCATTATCTTTGGATAATTGTCTAGGGGAACATTATAAAAAAAAAAGTATCCAAACTTTCTCCCTTGATTTAGAGCAAGTCCTCCTCATACATTTCATGGTGCAATTGTTACGAGACAGGGTTCTAAGTTAGAAGGGCACAGCTTTAACCTCTGGTCACCAATTCCAACAGTGAAGCTTCTGGCAATCTCCTGAACTCTTCTGACGTTTACCTTCCTTATTCACACACAGAGATCCTAATTCTTATCTCACAGAATGGCTATAGGCGCTAAAATAAGTGACAAATGTTTGTAAAACACTAAGCAAGGGTCCAGTACATGGTAAGCATTCAATGAATGATGGTCATTATTGCACAATACTTTCCTTGAATTGTTAATTAATAACATTACTAGGTAAAGTGGGGAAGGGCAGAGAAGATGGGAAATGAGATTTTGCTTTACATCATTCATCTCTGCGGCTTAATGATTTGGAACACAAGGGAGAAAATGCCATCAGGACAACAAGAAAAAGGAATTAAAAAAAAAACAAAACACAAGGATAGGGTAAGGAGCCAGGGTAGTTCTTTTCAGAAACAATAATCACTATCACAAAGCATGGGGAGGACCAAGGTGAGAATTTCAATATGGATGGATGGAGAGGGAGGGAGGGAGGGAGGGGGGAGGAGGGAGGGAGGAGGGAGGGAGGGAGGAGGAAAGGAGGGAGGGAGGGAGGGAGGGAGGAGGAGGAAAGGACGGAGGGAGGGAGGGAGGAGGGGGAGGGAGGGAGGGAGGGAGGGGGAGGGAGGAGGAGGAGGAAGGAGGAAAGGAGGGAGGGAGGGAGGGAGGGGAGGGGAGGGAGGGAGGGAGGGAGGGAGGAAGGAGGAAAGGACGGAGGGAGGGAGGGAGGAGGGAGGGAGGGAGGGAGGAAGGAAGGAGGAAAGGAGGGAGGGAGGGAGGGAGGGGGAGGGGGAGGGAGGGAGGGAGGGAGGAGGAAAGGAGGGAGGGAGGGAGGGAGGGGGAGGAGGGGGGGAGGGAGGGAGGAGGGAGGGAGGGAGGGAGGAGGAAAGGAGGGAGGGAGGGAGGGAGGGAGGGAGGAGGGAGGGAGGGAGGGAGGGAGGGAGGGAGGAAGGAGGAAAGGAGGGAGGGAGGAAGGAGGAAAGGAGGGAGGGAGGGAGGGAGGAGGGAGGGAGGGAGGGAGGGAGGGAGGGAGGGAGGGAGGGAGGGAGGGGCAGACAGATACACACATATAATTGTAAGGCAATTCTCAGTAGGTCAGTAGACATTTGGAGAATTGCTAAACTTGTTAGTAGAAGAAATGTACATGCTATTCATGCTACCTGAAAATGCACATCCCTAGCCTGAAAGCCCAGCTAATTCCTATCATCCTTCAAGATCAAGCCTCACTTGGAAATTTTCCTCTCTGACAAGCTGAATGTGGTAATCCCCTCTTTCCTCCACATCTGCATGGTTCACACTTCTGCGCTAGGATTTAGAGCAGAACACCGACAGAGACAGCATCTTCCAGGGACCCTGTCTTCAGTTTGCTGCTGCCTGAGAACAAAAACTGTGTGTTGCTCATCTCTTTATTCACCGCACCCAGCACAGCACAAGGCACATAGTGGATGACCAGTCAGAAAAGGGAAGAAGGGAAGACAAGATGTAGGTAGAATTTAGGATTAATTTCTATCCCCATTACAAGTGAATTCTGGTTTCAGAGATTAGTAGAACTGAAAATCTGCTAAACATCAATGTGTATTTAAATGACTTGTTAGGTTAAACAGTGTTTTCAAATTTCTCCATACAATATCCTGAATGCTCTTGACTGTTGGATACATTGTAATACAACTCCTCATTGCCACTTCCACCAATGAAAATGTACGTTCATCAACAATCGAACAAGTTTGTTCCTATAATGATGACACATTGTGTTAAAAAAATGAGTAATGAGTATGAGAGAACTGTTGCTTCTATACATTGATTTCATGAAAATTAAGCTGAATTCTTTCAAAGTGTTCAATAAAGATGAGTTACTTAAAAACTGCTGTCAATTTTGATGTAGGTGAGACATACGCAAAATATAAGAAAAAATAAAGCATAAAAGTCTATCACTTTTCTTAGACTTTTGAAGTTCCCTACCATGTTGTGAATTGCAGTAAAAAGTTTGAAACTATTTAAAGTGAGGTAAAAGTTAAATTTGTATCACTGAAGCAGGATTCAAAGATTATACTCATGACAAATTTCTGGTAATACAAGGAAAATTTTAAATATAATGTTAAGAAAAAAATGATGTTGAGGAGATGAAAATGTTAGCCTTACTGTGGTAATATTTTTCAATATATCCATGTATCAAATCATACACCTTAAACATATGTATATGTCTATAATATCTCAATAAAGCTGGTAAAACACACACACACAGATATAATACCTAATGATGACCATCAATTTAATATGTGTCTACCTTCTGCCACGTCTAAAAGTTTTAAATATTCTATAATGGCTAATAAAGCAATGACTTCAGTTATTTGAAGAGGGAAGGGACCACATCTTTTTAGACCTGTGGGACTGGTATTAAAACTCTTTTCCTACCCTATATTCCACAAGATGGCCCAGAAAGATTTATTAAAGACATATATTTTTTTAAATATTTTATTTATTTACTGTTAGAGAGAGGGGAAGGGAAGGAGAAAGAGTGGGAGAGAAACATCAATGTGTGGTTGCCTCTCGTGAGTCCCCTGCTGGGAACTGGCCTGCAACCCAGGCATGTGCCCTGACTGGGAATCGAACCGCGATACTCTGGTTCGCAGGCCCGCGCTCAATCCACTGAGCTATGCCAGCCAGGGCCATATTTTTTAAAGAAATGTTATCGGGTAACCTTGTAACCTTCGCACCCCTTCAACCAGAAGCTCTGTGGTTCTCCTTGCTAATCAGATTCATCTGTGCTAAAGGTTTCATTAAAACAAACACACTGTGTTAATGGCCTACTTTTAGAATAATCTTCATGAATCAACAGCAAATAGGACTTGGGCAGGTGGGATATCTAGACCTTTAGACTTACTGAAATATAATTTATAATGCCATAAAAAT